GCTGCTAACCAAAAGGTCAGCAGTTTGTTACTAAACTTGTTACCATCTAATTGTTTATTTAATTACACAAAGTCTATATGATCAGTGAATACGTAGCATTCTGTGGCTATTTTCCAGAACCTCAAAAATAATTTTTCTTTTAATTCAGCAGATTTCCTTTTGTGTTTTCACAGCCATTTCTTAAATCATTCAAATTCTATTAACATGTGGGGTTTTTTTTTTGCTTGTTTTTAGTCTTTGGAAATTATGTAATTTCTTCGAGGCACCAAACAGGCCATAAATAACCTATAGATTTGTATTTTTCTCTCTAAGTAAGAATATGAAAAATGATGAAGAAAAAGAGTAGTTTACCTGTGCTAGTAAATTATCAGTTATGGTTATTATCCTGGGACAGATAATTTTCTTTTTTATATATATCTAGAAAAAGTGAAATCTTTTTGCCAACTGTATTCAGCTTCCTAATTAACTTCTTCCCCCAAAATTAGAGGGGGATAAAACCCCTCTAATGATGAGCACTGAATCTTGAAGCTCCACGTTTTATTTTCTGCTACTTTGGATGGTGACAGTGTGGACATTTTTTACAAGTTTCTTTGAATAATGATTAGAGATGTTAGATAATATAAAAAATATAAGAATTTAGATCATAAAATTATTATGGTAGTAAGATTTCTTTCTTTCAGATATATATTTTTTCTCCTTTGTGACAGAAATAGCTATATTTAGGAAAAAGAAAAGATATTCTACTGTCTATATACTGACTTTCAAATCTTAACAGTAGAATTTTCACTTTCCATAACAGAGCTAGTATAATATCTTTTTTTTTTTGTAGAATATACAATGCACATATCTGAAAAGACAGAATGTACATATCTGTAAGATTGTTTTCCTCTTTTGGAAACATACTAGGTAAAGGAAGAGAAGGATCAGACTTTTAAAAACTTCCTCACAAGCTTTCCGACTGAAACTATGAGGTCGATCTGCCAGTCAATATTTATGTGCTAAGACCTAGAACTGTGTAGTTAAAACCATGTCCAATGCGTATATACCATATAGCTATATAACCATTTTTATTATTAAAGGATGAGATGTAAGCATCTCTGTACCTTAAACTAGACCTGAAAAGTAAGAGTACCTAAAGCAGATTACTATTCATTGTGTACAAATAGCCAAGTTTTAGATGTGATGTTTAAGGGACTTTAGTTACTGCTGAAGGAGCCCTGGTGGCACAGTGGTTAAGCGCTCGGCTGCTAACCAAAAGATGAAAGTTCAAACCACTAGTCACTCTGCAAGAGAAAAACGTGGCAGTCTGCTTCTGTGTAGACTCCAACCCAATCCCATTGCCGTCAAGTCACCTTGGGAACCCTATGGGACAGTTCTACTCTGTCCAGTAGGATCACTGTGAGTCAGAATTGACTCAATGGCAATTTTTTTTTTTTTTTTTTTAGTGACTGTTTATCTATCGTCCTTATTTCTGTCTGGAAAATATGAAAGTAGTCATTGTATAATAAGAGTTTTACAATTGTAAGATTTTGTGACAAATATTAAATAGAACTAGGAGAAACATCAAAATACTCTACTTTTTTTCACTTGGAGGCAATAAAGAATATCAGAACTTAGCACTGAAAAAGTTCCCTGGGCAATTTGTGTTTTTTGTTTAAGCCTCCAACTTTTTACTTGTTTTGTATTTTAAGCATTAAGTTGATGTACGCTGTATTTTGTATTTCTATAAATGGTAGCTTGCCAGTTTTTATTCAAAGCTGTTTGCTTTGTTATGTGCCATGGAAGCTGCTTATAGCTCTTCCTATAGGAGAAGCTGAAAGTGTCTTACATAAAACTTAATGCAATTTGCTATTTTTATGTCTGAGGATAATTTGTTTAAAATGAAACTACTAAG